TTATTTATGCTGTCTAAAAAAGTTTTACTTGGATCACGTTTCACAGCTGCGTTGTTCAGCAAATTACCATGCGAATGCGATTTGAATACGCGCTGTTTAGCACTTGTGATAAATTTTTAAAAGCCGGTGAATATATATAATATTCAAATGTATATCGAAATATCGGAAATGTGTTTAAAAATCGTATCACCGTTATCGAAAAAAATTCTATCGCGATATATATTGATATCGAATTATTGTCCAGCCCTACTCTAGGGGGGACAACCCAGCCCCAAGATGACACCTGTATGTGGTATCCAGTGTTCTTGATTGTTCAGATGTGGACTATATGGGGGTTCCAAGGACTGGGTTGAGAGTAACAGACACCCAGTCACAATTCACAGTAACAGAAGACTTTAATAAATACTTCATTATCTATCAGTCATATCAGTCACAGATTTCAAAGAGCATGTGGTTTCTTCTGTTTTGTAAATCTAACTCAGTGTTTCTTGACATCACTATGTACATCTGGAAACAGAAAACACTGAGCACGGCGTCAATCATCGTCCACCGCCATTGGCTGCTCCACCTGTGGCACCACCCCCAGTCTGATCCTGTGCTCCTGACATCATCAGAAAGAGAACCAGAGGCACAATGTACATCCACTGGAGGGAGAGAAGTGGGGGGAGGGGGGAGAGAACAGAGATGATCACACTGAGGTGCCAGGTTTGAGGTACAAGGACACAATGAGAGACACAGAGCAGCTGGGAAGCATTTCATCAGTGTTTCACACAAGGGGCTGATCAGGGTGCATGAGAATCAGCGTGAAGCATGTAATGCTAAGACTAGGCAACGATGCTCAGACAAACACATAAACACTCTCGCACACAGACAGACAGAGACACGCTACCCCAGCACCATGTCCCTCACAGCTCAAAGTGGTTCCCAATCATGCCACCGTGGATCTTGGGGCTGTATTGCACACCCGGCCGCCTGCTCTGGTCCTTCTCACCAAATGGCACCGAAACCTGAGACTTGGAGCAGCCCAGCCCATCGGAAAGTATGTGGCCGGACAGAACAGGGCTGGGGGCTCCCGGCGCTGCCCCCCGCTGTCCAGGGGGCTCACGCACCTGCAGCGCATCAATCTCCGTGCGAGGCATGGTGACAACACATCGGCTGCGGGGTGTTCTCACACAGACCCAGGCCTCAGACTGTAGCGGTGGCACCTCAGGCCTGGGCCTCGAAGGCACGGCGATGGTATATGTACACTGCCCTCTACAGGACCCCTGGCAGCATTACAGCCAGTGATGCAACAAAGTGTCTAACTACTGATCGAGGAATTGGAAACAAGTACAGAACAATTAGGCTGGCATGCTGATAAGCGCAGAGAGAGACAGACACAAGGACCGGCCCAGACACAGGGACATACAGTGAGTGAGCAAAGTGGCTGACAGTACTTGTAATGAGACTCAGCTCTGCTCTCTGCCTCCCCCTGGTGGGGACTGTGTGGAACTTGTGGCCATGAGGAATACTGCGCCTCCGAGAATCAAATACCACTGAAACACAGCACGGCACAGGCCAGGTCAAACACAGTACAGCACAGAAAGTTTCAAGCACAGCACGGACAGTGTTCAAAACTACAAAGCAAACACAGACACAGTCATATGCAAAACTCTCAAAAAGCAGGGTGTACAAGACCAGAAAACAGCATCAAACGAGAGCACACAGTACAGGAGGGTACAGCGGGGGGGCGAGCAGGGTGAGGTGCAGACAGCAGGTCAGGCTACAGGTCACTCAGCCTCCACTCACGTATTTTGCAAAGAATGATTTCTGCTCCTGGGGGTTCTTGGCCTTCTTCTCCATTTCATGTTCCATCCTCTCAATATACAGAGCCGTCTCTGGCCTGGGACAAAGGCAGAAGCAGCAGCAGTTCAGAAGAGCCTAGGAGAGAGGCTCGGCGGCAAGGGGGCTGCAGACTCACGCAGGGGCAGTGACGGGGCCCATGAAACTCAGTGTTGTGTTGAAAGCTTCCAGGTCAACTTCCTCTTCCACCTCAGCCCCACGACATGTGCCAGGGATCGTAACTATGGAGACACCGATGAGGTATCCGGTGACATCAGTGTGCAGGGTGATGACATCACTGAGGTGGGATTCCACCATAGAGCACTGTGCAGTGGAGGAGATTCCGGAGAGGAGTAAGGGTTAGGGTTAAGCCTGGTTCATACTTCACTTTTCCACATGGCTGTGCACATGGACACTTCTGTATATACTACATTTGTCTGTGGATGCAGGCAGTCATGGTTGGTGCATGCATACAGCAATGATATTCCACCAAACTAGCAGAGAGCAGATGTATTGCAACAAACACAAATACAAGCAGTGCAGTGAAACAAGTAAACTTCTATGAACAGTTTTAAAGTTGTTACTTGGCTTGGGCGGTATTATGATAATACGGCATACTACGGGATTTTGACATCTTTGCAATAAAATTATCTTGGATTCCCCCACTTGTTGAATTTTATCACCAAGATTTCAATGCTGGAATAGTTTCTCTTTTTGAAATACCATGTACCATGGTATAATGTCTGGACAGTATGAAAAATTTGATATGTGAGTACCTCTGCACCTCCTAATGTAGCTGTTTACCATAACTACAACAACATCAACAACTTCAACTCCTTTATTGAGCTCTGTGAAAATCAACGCTGCCACCTACAGCAAACATCTAGTCAATTTCCTGGCATATGCACAGTCGACGTGCACCAATGTGCATGATGTCGACTGCATGTAAAAATCTGGCCTGCAAGTGCGTCCTCTAGACACCCAGGATGACTAGATTTATGTCACTCACTTGCAGGCCATAAACGCATGTGGAAGAGTGAAATATAAATTGGTCTTTAGGAGGAAAAACTTGACAGAGAAGACCGGACTGTGTAAGTGCCAAGTTTCAAGATCTTCTGTTTGCCACACGCCCTCGTGCAAGTACTGCTTGTAATGTAATGAAAAACTGGATGCTTGTTGAACTGTGCAAAGAAAATTTATATAAAATACTGTACAATAACAGGATATGTGGGGCGGTGGTGGGGGCGCATGACATATAAATAGGCATGTCTTGTGTTAAATGGGGTTTGGCTAGTGTGGCTATACCCAGAATGCCATGGTTAGCATTTTCGGGAATAACTTTCCTGATTGCTTATGTGCAAATGTTTACTTCATGAACCTGTCCGATTCTCCCATCTAGAGTGGGCCGGGGTAAATATTTTCTGTGGAGCTTCATCATTTCGGCAGGGTTTTTTTTTTTTTTTTTTTAAATGATCATAAATCTACCTTTTTAATTTTCTTTTGAAAGCTTCATTTTTGCCTGTTATGGTAGCAGTAGGTGTATCTGTGATTATTAATGGGACTTAACATAAAACTTAAACCCTAGTGAAAATGATGTGATCACGCAAGCCATTTTCTACTCACAGCTGGAACGAATGCGGTGAGGTATCCATCCATCTGCCGTTCAGCCTGTCTGTCAGTCTGCACAGACACTCTGGGAACCCGGATCCGGTACAGGCCGTCCACTGCAGCTACCGCCTGACACCAGCACAGAGAGACACCGGCAGCCCGAGTCAGGCCACTGACCACAGCCCCAGCAAATGCAGCACCACAACAATCGGGGACCTGACTGACGGGCTCTCACCTTCAGAATGCTCCTGTCCTCCTCTGTCAGGGGACTCTGCCAGAGAGATGCGGTATGCTCCCGGCCCCCTCTCAGTTGCACGGATCCCCTCATGCGAAACCGCGGCACGTCGTCTAGGGGAAGGGACACGGAGTGAGCCCCGCTAGTGGGTTATTACCAGGAAGTGATGCTTGAAAGCATCTCACGCACGGAGCACAAAAACGAACTGACCGATCTCGAAAGAGTGCTCGAGTGGGACAGAGAAGCCGGCTGCCTCGGTGTCCATCCCATCAGCCGCCTGTGGACAGAAAGAGCGACATCAGCCAGTCTTTTCAATGGAGACTCCAGACGGAACGCGAGCGCTAAAAGCAAACGGGGGAAAGGACAGGGAAAACAGCAAACGCCGTCCATACACCCCACATGAGATCATCACTATTATCATTATTATTCCTTGTTATTGCCGGTACTATTATTATTACTAATTATGCTGGCTAAATATCCAGCGGGTCATCATATACAATCAAAAATTATTAGCTACCTCTTAGCAACACAAAAGCTGGCCGACGTTACAGCGCTTAACAGAGGTGTTATAAGTATCCTACGCTTTATTAGTGAGGCAGAAACTGAACTCACCCTTTTACCGGTGTTACAACTGACGTACTCTGTAGTTATTGTGAGAACAACTGCAGATATCCAAACCGAGGTATAGCATGACCTGAATGCGGCCATTTTGCCTGACGGAGTGAAGCGTTACGTGTGCAGAAAAACTACAAACGTACGTCCTGACGTAAAAGGTCAGCAGTGTGTCAAACTCCAGTCCTGGGGGGCCGGAGCCATGCATACTTTTGGGTTTCCCCTCTTTTAACACACCTGATTCAACTCTTTGTGCTAATTACCACACAGCTCTTGAGCTGAATCATTTGTGGTGGAACAGGGAAAGAACTAAACTACACAGGGCTCCGGCCCTCCAGGACTTGAGTTCGACACCCCTGATGTATGTAATATAAGCGACATAGAACATCAGTTACATTGCGCAAAGGACGGCGTAGTACTGTGTGAGACAGTACGTTTCTTCAGCGGCAGGTGTTGCTCTTTACAGAGTTACCAAAGGATATCACCAGACAGTCATTTTGTTACTCTTGGTACTTTCTGACAGAAAACAAACAGACAGACAGGCAAACACACATACACAGAAATTTCTTCATTAGTTATTGTTCTTCAGTTTTTCCAAATTATCATAAAATCATGTTTTGGAAATACGTGGCAATGTTTGAAGTACACACCGTGTCTGCGTAAAGCATAAATAAGTAATAAAGTAGGGATGCACCAATCTCACTTTTTCTGTCCTGATACCAATACCGATACCTGAACTTTGGGTTTCGGACAATACCGAGTACCGATCCAATAGCCGTGTTTAATTAATAAGCTGTAGGCGTTGCCTCACTTTGTAGATGAGACCGTGATCATTCTTTTGTGTATAAGGGAACATCAGGCTTAACTTAACCCTGCGGTAACCCACTATGAAAGCAGGCCCACTGTGACATTGTGCCTCTAATGACTACTCACTGCTTCCTGTCTGTTAACCAATTTTCGATCCAAGCTGCTACAGTTCCTAAAATCCCTACATCTTTGAGCTTTAGGAAGAGTCGTTTGTGGGGGACAACATCAAAGGCCTTCTGGAAATCTAAGTAGATCACATCGTAGGCCTTTTTGTGATCAATTTCTCTTGCAGCTTCCTCAAAGAACTCAAGTAGATTAGTTAAACCGGATCTACCTCTCCTAAATCCATGTTGGCTATCCCTCAGGATGTTGCTTGAATCCAGGTAATCTACCATTTTCACTTGGATTATAGCTTAAATTTCACCCAGACAGACGTGATCACTATATGCGGTTTTCACTGTATATATAGGCTAAATGTACTAAATTGTTATTACAGTAAAACCGGTCTAAGTCGACACTCGCGGGACCATCTTAAAAGTGACGACTTAGAGAATTGACGAGATACACCTAAGTCGACACTTTGGCGACTTATGTCTATCTCGCCGTTTTGCCGACTAGTAAATATAACACCATACCTCTACTACACCGCACTATACACGCGAGACTTAAGACCAGGGAGCGACTAGTGCGATAGGTGGGGATTCCCCGTTTCTACAATGCCGTGGTGACAAGCAGGCGGCGGGAATGCAGCGATTGGGGTGTCGACTTACAGGTAGGAAAATCCATTCATTTGTGTTCTTCGGGACCGGGATTTAGGTGACGACTAAGGGAATTTGACGACTTACAAGCGGCGAGTTACACAAGGAATTTTAAAGGAAACATCATTAGGAAAAATCGGGACTTTTGCTTGAGCGTCGACTTAGGCACATTGACGAGTTACAAGACGGCGACTTAGACCAGTTTTACTGTATATATAAGCCTTGTTTAAATTTTAGGACCACTATTGTTCCTAATTTACATTAATGATATTGACACCAATTCACAGGGGCGTCATAGTGGGGGGAAAAAGGGGGCTGAGTTACCAGGGCCCCATGTGGGGGGAGGGGCCCTAAGGAATCTGGAATTTTATTTTCCTTTAAATATTAATATTATTCAAAGATCACAATAAATGTTGCTAACTAATGTAAATTTAATTTTTGTGGGAAAAAAATCGGGTGACAGATTGAATTGTGTCCTAGCTTACACAAACTTCCGCGATATAGAAAGACCATATACATAAACTTTTTTATAGTTTACGCCTTAAAATATATAGTGATCCCCCGCCTATCGCGGAAGTTACGTTCCAGACCCATCAGCGATAGGTGAAAATCCGCGATATAGAATTAAGACCATATACATAAACTAGAATTGCAATTCTGTGTTATTAATAATCGTATATATAAGAACTGTAATACGTAATACACCTTACATATGCCATGAGGTACCAAACTGTGTTTAATAAAAGCTGGATGGAAAAAAAAAACAGACACGACATCAAGAATCAAATGTTTATTTTTTTCAAATAAGAGATACCAGCCTAAAAAAAACTAAACAAAAGAAACCAATAAAAACATTGTGATATAATTTAAAACCGATAACGGTCTGATTTTTAGCTGTACGTTTCACAGCGACGATTACAGTCGCTGTGAGATAGGGTGAACGAGGGTTTATTAGAAGGGAGACAAAACAGGAACATCGAAGAAGCACAAGACGGACGTCAATGACCGGACTGGGGAAAACATACCTGACGCAGACTTAAGTAGGCTACATTAGACTAATGAAAACAACTAGAAACAGCTGATAAACACAGGGATTCCACACGGGGTTAACGAGGGGGCGTGGCAAACGGGAGGAGCGGACGAGCTGGGCAGGACATACTGCACTTTTAATCAATAATTTTTTAAATTTTCTAAGCACTTTTTATTCAAATAAGTTTTTTTTATCTCTAATTTGCTTTTTTTTGTATTGGTTTAACTTTTTAAAAACTTGTTTTTATATAGCACATTAAATAACCCCTATGTATGGTAATAAAAACTTGCCTTGCCTTACCATAAGGAGAAGCGTTCTCCTCAAGACCACACGAACAACTAAAAACTATATGCTGGAAACTAAGACATTCACAAGGTAACTCCATGAAAATCTCTGTAAAAGTAGAAATGTGTTTATTTTATGATAAGATAACGGGAGCCAACTGGCTAGTAGTTGCCTTAACTGAAAAAATTCACTCCAGTCATCAGAGAAAAAAGTTACTAACGCACTATATCAAAATATTTACATTGCAATAATGTATGGCATGAAATAAACTTGTAACTATATCATTCAGTAATACAAATAATAAAACAACATACCGTTCACATTGGCCTCAAGAACTAAGTTAGTGCTTGATTCCCCTGCACTTCCTGTTGTGGCTGAGCGTGCACCTGACGTCAGTGGCTGAAAGTGCACGTTCTGCAGCCAGACACTTCTCAAACTGTTTGCCTAGCTGCAGTGATCACGCAATGGAATTTGTAGTTTTATTACCACGCAGACACCGGTGCAGACCAGAAAAGACAACCAACGGATTAGTTTTACAGCGTTTTACTATTTTATTTTCTGCGGACCATGCTTTTTGGGAATGAACGGCGGTAAGAATTTTAAGACTTGGGTAAATTAAATTTAAGACCTAGGATGAAAATCTGGGCATTTTTAAGACATTTTAAGGCCTTAAATTTAACTTTCTGAATTTTAGACTTTTTAAGACCCCGCGGGAACCCTGTATGCAGTCTCATTCTCCAGGGAGAACTGCAGAAGGCATGGTGACCTCAGAGCTATTCAAGTTCCACAAATTCACCCCCCCCCCCAAAACCAATATGCAATGTCTCCCTCACAGATGGGTCAGCATGTTGCTGTCATTCAGCACTCCTGAACTTTGGAAGCCTGCCATGTTATGACCGTACGGCCTCTGGGGGGCAGTATAGTACCCCATGACAGGAACTCAGCTCTCTAACAATGATCTGGATACAGTGGGGGCAGCTGGTGAGTCACTAGAGAGCAGACCTAAGCTCCCTGCCTGGCAGAGGCAGTGTCCTGCTGTGCCTCTGACAGTTTTCTGATATTCTTTGGTAATGGCGCAGCAGCATTCCTTGCATCACTTTTCTACCGGTGGCCCAGATACTGAGGAATGTTGAAGTCAGCAGGACATCATATGGAGAATCAGATCAGCTGTGCTTCTATTCTGAAAACGAAAGGCACAAAGTACCCAGCAAAATATCCAGCTGTAAAATAACAGTCAAGAATTGTGAAATACGATGAATAAAATCATCATCTGAGCAATTAAATATAAAATGTGAGTGAGAGAGAGAGATGTGGACTGAGGGCAAAAGTGTTCAAAAAGGACATGTGTCAAGGTTTTTCTGAAGAAGGAACGAGGGAATCACTATGGCAGTCAGACTGATTGTCAGGTGCCAGATGCAGTATATGTGAGACGCAGTGTGTGTGAGATGTGGTGTGTGTGAGACGAAGTGTATGTGAGATGCATTATGTGTGAGACTTAGTGCATGTGAGACGCAGTGTGTATGAGACGCAGTGTATGCGACAGGCTGCGTGTGTGAAACTTTGTGTGTGATGCAGTGTCCGCAAGATGCAGTGTGTGAAATGCAGTGCGTGTGAGACACAGTGTATGTGAGACGCAGTGTAAGCGAGATGCAGTGTGTGTGAGGCAGCACGGCTGCTGTAAGACTGTGCACATGCAAATGTGTAATTGAATCTTCTTCAGAGTGATGACATTTCAATGCTGTTATTGATCTTGTGAAAAATTTGCTTGGTTGCCATGTCGGGGGGGCTCTGACCTCTGAAGGGTGTGTGTTAGCACCACCCACTGGACACACGTATCATGGCTGCCAGTTTGCATGGTAATGACCCACCCTTGACGCATCCATCAATATTCATACAACCAGAAACACCAAGTGGCCATGCTCTTAGTAGGAAATGTCCAAAAAAAAAAAACATGTAGTCGTGCCAGGCCTCCATCTGACAGCCTGTTCTGCTTTAATTACTTTTTATTTCTCACTGTCTCTCTCCCTCTGTAAATTTATCCAGTGTCTCCAGTTGCCTGGGCTAAAAATAGCCAGTCTTCCATCTCAGCCCCTCTGCCTTAAGTTCTCTTTGGAATTTAAATTCAAAAGGCCGTTTATTGGCATGCCAAGGTTATGAAGGCATGGCTGAAGCAGGTCTGAAAGCAGAGCTGCTTGCTGATGAGTCCTAGCAGCAGATGTGTTGCCATGTGGGTACCAGCAGCTCTGCACTTCCTTTCACAGAATAAGAGCAAATTTAATTTGCTCATTGTAGCTTTTCATACTACAGTAATTCTCCTTCAGAACCTTATTCAGTGGTAAACCAGCAGATGGTCTCCTGAGAATTGAACAACCCTAACCATAATTGAACAACCCTAACCACCCTAACCATAACTACCCTAACCCTAACTTGCTAACCCCCAAACTTAACCCTGCTTATAACCCTACAGTCTCGCCACCAAATAATACCCTTCAAGGTTTGTGTCCATGCCATTAATAGCAGCACTGCCAGCAGCCCCTCTAACAGCTTGGAATGACAGTGGGAATTGCAGAGCATGGTAAGAAGTGCACCTAACCCAATGAAAGAAGGGACTGATGGAAATATCATCTCTGTAAGGCTGGGGTGTTTACCCCAGGCCTTGCTGTCCTAGAAGTCATAGTTTTGAGATAATGATTCAGGATGTAGAAGGACAAAGTGAGGTGGGAAGAACAAAGGTAGGAGTGGAAAGTAGGAACTGTAAGAGGACAGACACAATGGAAGGTAGGAACTGTGAGAGGACAGACACAGCGGAATGTAGGAACAGTGAAAGGACAGACACAGTGGAAGGTAAGAATAGTGAGAAGACAGACAGAGAATAGTAGGGACAGGGAGTGGACAGATATAGTGAATGTAAGAACAGAGAGGACAGACAGTGGAATGTAGGAACTGTGAAAGGACAGATACAGTGGAATGTGAGAACTGTGAGAGGATAGACACATTGAAATGTAAGAGGACAGATACAGTGGAAGGTAGCAATAAGAGAAGACAGACATGTAGGAACTGTGAGATGACAGAGTAGAAGGTAGGAATAGAGAGAGGACACACAGTAGAATGTACACTGAAAAAAATAGTCTGTTGGATTTACATAAAAAAAAAAAACATGTACATCGGTTGCACACAATGTTATTGTTTTTTCTTAAAACATTTTACCTATGTTAAATACACTTATTTTTTTGTTAAACAAACATGACTTTAATTTAAAGAAATAATTTAATTGAAAATGTAATCACCTATTTTATGTCAAACCAATATACATTTGTTAATTTAAAGCTTCTTACATACTTAATGTATATTTAATTAGTATATGTTAAAGCAACATGACTTATTTAATCTAACCTGCTTACACTGTGAAGTTTAAAATGTCTGCATTATTCATGCATCTATTCCACATTATTTCCATCCACTGATCTCTGTAAATGTATTAAATACATATTTAGATGTATTTTGTACATCCTATCTAAAGCACTCACCAAAAATTCAAAGCAAATAAGGTGCGAACATGTCCTTTAATGAGGTATTTGTATTTCCACAATATAGTTACATCGAACACATCCACAATCTTATTACTAGCTGTCAGGGAAAAAATGCAAATAAAACAAAATCAATAATGCTACACCCAAATTCAGGAGAGCACAATAAACATTTACTACTGTTCTGTTCAAGCTTGAAGGAAGAATGCGTTCTCCTGGGGAAAAAATGTTTGTGTCAAATGGCTCTTAAAATATATACAATCAATAATGACATGCATAACAAAAAAAAAAACACAAACAAATCCCAAGAGAAGAAATTAAATCCATTTAAGTGGTATCTACAAATCTTGCCTATGATAAAAATAGCAAAAAGTTCACAAGTGCAAGTTGCCATATTATACACCGTTTTCTAAATTCTTGTGCTAAGTAAATTCTTTGTTGTGTGATCTGCTCCTCGCCACATTTGTTGCTGCTATTGTCAGGAAACTTGAAAGCAAGTTTAAAAAAGTCAAATACAACAACAAAAGCATTTGAATACTCACCTTTTACTACAGAGCCTTCAGAACAATGCTTAAAGCAAATGAAATGTCAACCCAAGAACAAAAAAGCAAAACAAGATTTTTCAAATTATTTTATTATAGTCATTTTTCCTTTTCCCCTTATTTTATCATGGATAATATGGACGGAGCTGGGCACCCCCCACTGAAAAAAGCTACAGTAAATTAATGCCATGAGCAACATTAATGGAAACCAAAATTAATTGGCGACACATGGGACAACGAACTATGAACTTGAAATGCAAACACGACTTCAGCAATCTACGCAACGCTTTGTTTTTCAGTGCGCAGCACGCAGAAACCGTGTATTTCCAGGAAACCATAGTAGCTCGACAAAATTGTAATCAGCCCAGGGGATTCAGTCGGCCTAATTATTAACTGCATAATTTTTAATGCTGGCGACCAACAACTACCGAACTTGCGTTCTATAAGTGTCCACACTATAAAACACACACGATATGCAGACAAATATTAATAATAAAAATTATATTCACAGGAATGAGCCTAACTAATACATGCGAAAGGTAACGTTGGATTAGCAAATTAGCATTAACATTGAACTCACGTTTCTCGACGTTAACTGGCGAACAGAAACAGACTTTGTGAAAATAAAGCGTCATATGACACTGACCAAAATTTGAAAATGTTTAATTGTTCGTTACCTTGTAGAAAGCTTCTCAGACCAACATTTATTCGTCCAACCGCCAACAGTCACACTCGCTGATCCAACGCGTTTGGAAAAAAAAGGCGGGCTGTGAGTCTGCCGCTGACGTGTTCCCAGTAGGAGGAGTTTCCAGACAAAACATAACTATTTTATTCATTCTTAAATTAACTGATTTTCATAGATTTCACATCCTTCAAGATTAAAAGAGATCTACAAGACTAATATATGTTCAGAAAAGGAACATAAGAAAATTATGTCTTATATACTAAATGTAGATTTGTAAATTCAACAATCCCCCTTCTCCCTTTTTTCAGTGTAGGTATGTGAGAGGACAGACACAGTGGAAGGTAGGAACCTTGAGAGGACAAACACAGTGGAATGTAGGAATAACAACAGGACAGACAGTAGAAGGTAGCAACAGAGAGAAGACAGACAGTGGAATGTAGGAACTTTGAGAGGACAGACATTGGAATGTAGGAACTTTGAGAGGACAGACAATGGAATGTAGGAACTTTGAGAGGACAAACAGTGGAATGTAGGAACTTTGAGAGGACAGACAATGGAATGTAGGAACTGTGAGAGGACAGACAATGGAATGTAGGAACTTTGAGAGGACAGACAAACACATCATCTTTTGCAGCACTGATGGCAAAATGCAGCAGGTAGCATAGGCTGACTGGCAGAAAGTTGAGATTCAGGGTGACAGTCATTAGGCCGTTTGGTATTAGACCTCATGTCACCTCGATGGGCCGAATGGCCTCCTCTCGTTTGTATAGTTCTTATGTTCTTGTTCTGTGTTACTTTGTGATCAATACATCTGGCCAGTAAGCTAACCATACAGGCCTAACCCATAATGAGGAAATCCTTTAACAAATTCTCTCGTCTGTCACACGTTTCATTCCTGCACCGTTCCGTTCTCTCCATTTTTCTGCATATTTCCTTAAGGAACTTGGGTTTCCCTCAGTGTCTCAAGTGACACTCTGTCCTTTGCTCTCTCTCTCTATCTCTCACTCTCTCTCTCTCTCTCTCGAGGAAGGAGACTTATGTGACATGAAAGAAGAGAGAGAGAGAGTGAGCAGGAATATAAAGGGATAAAAGGAAGACATTTGGAGAGACGCAGAGACGAAGAGAGAGGCATCACAGGAAACCCGTGCGACACAAGCAGTCATGCCTGAGGCCAAGAAGGCAGGTAAAGGAAGAGCCGGCTGCCTGACGGGAGATCAGATGCATGGCCGGCCTCCGTCTCTCTGTGCTCCCCTTTCTGCCACTTAGTCCTGCTGGATGCTTATGTGTGTGAAATGTACATTTTGTCTACATTTCTCTGCTCTCTCTTTCTTTCTCTCTCTCTCCCTTCCTCCATCTCCCTTCACCCCCCACTCTTTCTCTATTTCTCTATTATTACATATGTGGTTTGTACACTATTCCGTGTTTGTTAGTGACATTAAATTAACCAGGTCAGGGTGTTCATTCCATGGGATGTTATGAGCAGTTAAATAACAGATTCCAAGGTGGTCGATGCACAGGAAAGAGAAAAGATGACAGTGATGCGTCTGAGGCCAGTCAGGACCCGCCTACCGTCTTGTGTGTGCCTGTGTGAGTGTGTGTGCCTGTGTTTGCCTGTGTGAGTGTGCGTGCCTGTGTTTGCCTGTGTCTCTCTCTGCTGAATATGATTTCCTGTGTGTGTACTTAGGTCACGCTGCTGTGAATGATGTACAGAAACAATCTTCCTGACACATTACAGAAAGTGTGTAGCCTGGCATCTCTGTCCTCACCGTGTAATCTCTAAAACAAAGAGTGCTGGCTACTGTCCATGCTTGATGTTGTGATGGACAACAGAGAGTGACCACATGAGGAGAAAGAGCCAATTACGCTGTTGTGACTTTACTGCAAACGTCGCTAATACTTAAAGCGCATGTTTAAGAAGCTGCTGGTGGGGTCTGATGAAGAGTCAAACCCCCTTGGTTAGAAACGTAGCTGTAACTTGAGACTCTGAGGTCTTTTTCCAGCATTTGACCTTCAGTAACACAATAGCCAAGAGACCTTCAGCCAAGGAAATAAATGATTAGAAATCTAAACTGCAGATGACTGCGATTTACATGTCAGACGCCTAGGATCCTGAAACCTCCTATGCCATCAGTTGGTCACCCTGGAGCCCATGGAGGCTGGAAAAATCTCACATGGCGGTTTGTTCAGCAGGCTCCAAAACCTGGGGCCTCTCCGGACCCCGGAGGTATGTGCTGTGCTGCTCTGCCTCGGGGGTCCGGCGCTTGGGAACTTGGGGACGTGGCACAGAGCCACAGATGCACCTGTTAGCCACTTTGCCACCATGTTCCTGAATCCGACAGCTCTGTGCTGAGATCAGCCCAGAAAGTGCCAGAAAAGGCAGAGGCACCCGGAATAACATGCTCAGTGAAACATCATCCTGTGTTTATACAATACGCTAATTAGCGTTGTGAGGATTCAGCATCTGTGTGCAATAATGTGCTCGCAGAGCAGACTGGTTAAAAATGACAGGGTGTCTCTCCTGCCTTTTAAAAACAGACCCCCCCTATCGGACACCAGGAAATCAGAGGCGGACTGAATCGGGGATCGCATGTAGGGTGCACTTGGAGTATAGGGGGTGTTTGGCTTATATTTCTGTTCACCCCTAAAATGACCTTTGGCCGATTACATTTCAGGACTGGCAGTGAGGTTGTAAGTGAGTGATTTGCTGCAGAGTGCTATGGGACCATTAGTGATCATTAGTGATCATCAGGCTATATACCTTGCATTAGAGGAACTCTTCTTGCTACTGCCCCTCCACTCACCTCTTACTTCATGTAGATTCTACCTCCTCTCTCCCTCCCTCTTTCTCCTTTCCTCCGTTCTCCACCCATTCCTGTCCCTTCCTTTGTCTTGTCCTCTCCATGTCTCGTTATCATACCACGTTATCGTATTTCTTCACCTTTCCATGCCCCCAGCACTCTGCTTCATGTCATTATCTCATATATTAGGCTCCCCTCCCACCCCCAGCCTGCCCCAGACCGTAGCTCAGAAACCCCAGTGACACTTAAACTTGATTTATAGTAACTTGCTGCTGAAAGTTTACTCTGTCTGGCCCTGAGGAGAGACAGTTCCTCTCCCCCCCCCCACATAAACAGCAGTAATTATAGAGCACAGGCAGTGACTTTGGGGATGGGGGACACCGAGGGGATGGACAGGCTCTTCAGGAACCATCCTTCTGTTTATACCCTGGGCCACTTCCTGCTAACAAGTCCTGCTGACCTCAGGGAAGAGGGACAGTGATGGACAGAAAGTGATCAACGTGCAGGTGAGGCCAGACAGACGCTCTGGCTGCGATTACTGACATCAACAGACAGAACGGCCCCTAGCGTCGCGTAACCTGCGGGCAGCACCGAGAGGTCCCACTGAGCCGGTCCCTGCACGGGGCTCCAGATGTGCTGATTTATCTGTAAACCTCCAGGCGGTCTGGCCCATCTGTGCCCCATCAGCTCGCACATGCTGTCATAATACAAACGAACCGCTTAAAAGCATGAGAATTAAGCTGTACAAGCGGTTTGCTGGGAGACCTGGCACACATTTTGATAGGTACTGAGACAGCTGTGGGAGGCATTCCAGAGGAATGTAGGGGAGGAACTTGATGCTAGGCACCCTGGTGTACCGGAGGTAGCAATGCTCTTAGTTTTGTTATTAAGTGCAAGAATAAAACAAGTGTGATTGGACTCATTATAGCTCGAAAAATATCTTGCTCCATTTTGAAGTAACTATTTGAAGGTAAATGTCATTGTACAGTGCCTCCATTGCTTAATTCGTGGTGTCTTGTCTCTCTCTACCTGTCACTCTTCTTCTGTTCCTTATCTCTCCATCTCTGAATGCAGGAATCAGCCATCTACTTCCTGTTTCTCCTGTGCAAATGAGTGACCTTCTCTCTCAGTCTTCCCCTGACAATGTAACCTTTCTCTTTCCATCCATCCACCCCCATCTCTCTCTGACATTTTATCCTGACATATCAGATGATATTATGATATTTCAATAAGTCCCAAACAGTATTTGGAATTCATTCTGTCCTCTCATTAACCATCCTTCCAGAATTTTCTGTTGCTTTCCAGAACTTGCCATTTTCCTAGTTTTTCTCTACTCCTTGTTGCTGTGATTTAATCAGACCGTGAGAGCATCTGACATCATTATAATGCTTTAAAATTCATATTTAAACAGCCTGCCTTCAGTCAAATCAAACCCATTATGCAGCTGTGGGATGCAGAGCAGTATGTGATGTAGTATTTTTGTAGTGCAGGTTCAGGACCTGCGTGAACAGGCATCATACACCTGCAGCTCCCTTTCTTACCCATTCATTTTCACAGTGATTTTGGGCTTCCTAGACACGCTCCTCCTTCCCTTATCTTCTCTACATCTCTGTTCCTCTCCCTCATTTGAAAGTGCATCGTCTCCTCCTTCTTTCCCAGACATGCTCCCCCTTCCCATTTTCTCCCCTACACCTCCTTCCGTCTCATCTGAGAGTGCCCTGTTTCCTCTTTCTCTCCCAGACACACTCCCCCTTCCCTTTTCTCCCCTATGCCTCCCTTC